CATCGACGAGAAAGACGCCACGCAACTTGAGATGCTCCTGCCAGCCCGCGTCGCACGGCATGCTCGTCGGTCAGCCTCCGAAAAGTTCGGAAAACCGACCTCAAGCTATTTTGTTGAAGTCATTGTTCCGGCGGAAAAACAAGCTTTAGGAGCGCACGGCCTCCCAGCCGTCGGCGTGGCGGAGGAGGAAGTCGGCGTCCATGAGGTGCGCGTGCTTGATGGCGTACTTGAGCTTCGCCGCGCAGGCCGCGGCGCACGTGTACTTGGGCAGCGCGAGGCTGAAGAAGCAGGTCGAGGCCACGGGGAAGTAGCCGTCCGGGTCGTCGCCGTCGGCGCCCGGCGGCGGCGGCGTGATCTTGAGGGCCTGCGTGGACCGCGGCGCGTCGGCGCGCGGCGGCCGCGCGGAGCCGCTGCAGAACTCGACGAAGCCCGCGAGCTCGGCCTCGTCGAGGCTGCGGAGCGCGTCCCAGAAGACGGCGACGTGGGCGTCGGCCTCGTCGACGCCCTCGTAGGACGTCCGCGCGCGGAGGTCGTCGACGTCGACGCGCGCGCGGCCCGTGACCGCGTCGTCGAGGCCCTCGGCGTCGAAGAGGGCGAAGAGCTCCGCGGGCAGGACCGCCGCGGCGCCCCGCGCGACGCGCGCGAGCGCGGGCCGCGACGCCGCCGCGAGGCGCTGCGCGACCACGTCCGCCGCGAACGCCGGATGCGCGAGCGCGTCGACGGCGTCGCCCGCGAGCGCGTCCGCGAGCGCGTCGACCGCCGCGTCGCAGGGCCGCGCGCCGCCGGCGGCGAAGCGCCGGAGCTCCGCGAGCGACGCCGCGAGCGCCCCCGACGCGTCGTCCGCGCGCGCGCGGACGGCGCGCGCTTCACCGGACAGCGGCGCCCACACGCACCCGCGGCTCAGCTCGAGCGCGACGGGCACCTTGTGGCGGCCCGCGACGCCCAGCAACCGCCCGAAGTGGTGGAAGAGGGCCGGCGCGCCCGACGCCGGCGCGAGCGCGCCGCGCTCGCCGGCGACGAGGCGCAGCGGCGCCGCCGGCTCGTCGCCGAGCGCGGCCTGGAAGACCGCGCGGTAGGGCCCGCCGTGGTCGTCGACGCCCTCGCCGACGAACTTGACGTAGAAGGCCCGCGGCTGGCCGCCGTCCTGCATGTGGACGAAGGACCGCCGGAGGCCCCGCGCGTCCGCGCGCGACGCCATCTGGCGCCGGAGCTGCCCGAAGACGCTCCGCGCCTCCGCGTCGTCGCTCTCCGGGTCATCCGCCGGGTCCAACCGATTGACGACGAACTCGCGGAGCTCGTCCGGGCGGTCGTACTCGTCGGGCGGCGGCGGCGTGAACGTCGTCGTCGCCGCGAGCACCGCGGCCCAATGCGCGCGCTTGACGTCGTCGAAGACGCAGCGCTTCAGGCGCAGGAGCGCGCGGCCGCAGGCGCTCCGCGCCGCGGGCCGGAGCAGCGCGCTCAGCGCGGGCACGCCGGCCGCGAGCTGCTCGTCGACGTCCGTCCGCGCGGGCGCCGCGCCCGCCCACCACGCGTCCGGCCCGTCGCCGCCGGCCCACGCGGCCTCGTCGTCGCCGCGCCGCGGCCGCGACGCGTGGCGCGCGCCGTAGTAGGACGTCGCTAAAAAGGCCCGGCGGTCGCGGGGCCGCCGGTCGACGTCGTCGTCCGCGGAGCCGCGCGCGTCGCCGCCGTCGCGGTCGCGGCCCCGGTCGCCGCGGCGCCGCCCGCGCGCCGTCGCGAGGCGCGCGTCCTTGAGCAACGCCTCGGCGTCGAGGTCCTCGGCCGGCGGCGACACGTCGTCGGCACCGCGGCCCGCGCGCCGCGCGCCGCGGCCCCGCGGTTGGGCGCGGTCGCGGACGCCGCCGCGCGACTCGCCGAGCTCCGCGGACGCCAAATCGCCGCGGCCCAGGTCCACGCAGGCCACGGCCTCGGCGACGCAGGCGTTGAGGTGCAGCAGCGACCCGAGGCGCGCCGCGACGGCCGCCGCGGGCGCGCCGCGGAGCGCGCCGCGCGCCGCGACCTTTCCGTCTTCGACGCCGAGCGCGGCCGCGAGCTTCGACGGCGGCACGAGGAAGGGCGAGCAGCGCTCGCGGCGCGCGACGTCGTCGACGGCGCGCACGAGGCTCGCCGTCGCGTCCGCCGTCCACGCAAAGGCCGCGGCGCCGCCGCCGCGGAACGCCGCCGCGGCCGCCGCCGCGGCCGCGTCGCCCGCGGCGGCCTTCGTCGCCGCGCCCCGGACCTTGCCCGCGTCGACGTGGGCCCGGAGTTCGCCCGGCGTCCAGTACCAGGCGCGGTCGTCGTCGACGCCCGACGCCGCGTACCAGAGGTGGCCGCGGCCGCAGACGCCGACGAGCGTCCCCGGCCCGTGCGGCGTCGAGCACGGCGCGCCGTGGCCCGGCCAAACCTCGCCCTCGGCGAGGACGAGCCCCGCGCGGCTAAGTACTCTTTCAAAGGCACCGGCGCTCGCGTCCAAATCCACGTCGACGCGCGCGCGCGACCGCGCCGTCACCGTCGTCCCGCCGCCCTCGACGGCGTCGTACGTGGCGAGCCACCGCGCCGCCGCCGCCGCGCCGCAGTCCGCGAGCGGCCCCGCGACGGCGGCGCGGTCGCCGGCCAGAGCCGCGTCGTAGTCGCGCACGCGCCGCAGGGCCGCCAGCGCGCGCTCGAAGCCGCCGCCGCCGCCGTCGGAGCTCCAGCTCTTGCCCTCGCGGAAGCTCAGCCGGTCGCCGTCGCCCTTCAACCCCAGGCACGCGTAGAGGCCCGCGCGGCTCGCGGGCGCGCGGTCGCCGTAGCGCCGCCACAAGTTCGCGTAGGCCACGCCCAGGTGGCTCACGACCGCGCGGCCCGCGTTGAAGTCGTCGCCGTCCTTGACGAAGGCCAGCGTCCCCCGGTCGCAGTCGAGCAACACGCCGACGACGTCGCCGGGCCCGTAGTAGGACCCGTAGAGCGCCTCGGCGCCAAAGGCCTGGGTCGCGCGATAATTCACAAACCCGAAGGCCCCCCAGCCGCCCGCCGCGCCGCCCAGGCCCCGCGCGGCGTCGCCGTAGCTCGCCGACGACCGGCCCGGCGCGCCGCAGCCCGCGCCGCCCGCGCCGAGCGCCGCGACGCCGACGAAGACGGACCCCCAGGTCGCGCGCTCGACGCGGACCTCCCAGTAGTGCAGCCCCGTGCGCATGCGCTTCGCCGCCAGGGCGAGGCCGCGCCCGAACCTCGGCGCCGTGCACGTCGCCGTGAGCAGGTCGTCCGATACCGCGACGCCCGGCCTGTGTGGAATTCAAATCTTCAACCCGACTTCAATGTGCGCGTAATCGAACGGTTTGGACCAGACTCTTTCGCTGTGCTTCGAGAACTCGACGAGAGCAATCGATTCGTCCAAAAATCAGCCGAATCGACTTCGATTTGACCGAAATAGAGAGTTCTGAAGTTTGGTGGGGACCCCCAAACCAGTGCTTGCAATCCACACTGCGCCCGGCCCGCACTCGCGCCGGTCGATGACGTGGTCCCGCGCCGTCGAGCACGCAAAGGTCGCGACCACCGCCGCGCAGGCCTCGTCCTCGACGGCCGCCTTGGCCCGCCGCTCGTCGTCGCGGACCCACGCGACGCGCTTCTTATCTAAAACCTTGAGCCGGTGCTTCTCGCGGTCGTCGCGCTCGCGGCGCACGCGGCGCCGCCGCGACCGCTCGCGGCTCCGCGCGTCGGCGGCGAGCTCCGCGCGCGACGGCTCGCGCCGCACGATATGCTCCTTCTCCGACGCCCAGCCCGCCCACTTGGCCGGCGCGACGATCCGCAGCCGCAACGTGCCGCCGGGCAGGCGCACGCGCTCGGACACGTCCAAGCTCGTCCACGCCGGCGCCAGCCCGACCTCCGCCCCATCCAGGGACGACGTCGCCCGGATCATGGCGCCGCCGGGCCGCACGACGCGGTACCGCAGGGGCCGGCCGCGGACGACGTGGCGCACGACGACGCAGACCGCGTCGCGCGCGCCGCCTCGCAGCCGCTCCGAGATCCAGCCCCGCTCGAAGGCCGCGGCCCCGCGCCCCGCGTCGGGCACGGGCAACCGCACGCGGTAGCGCGGCACGCCGTCGGCCGTCACCGCGCGCCGCGTCGCCTCGAGCTCCTCGCCGACGGCGACGCGGCGCACGACCTCGGACGCGTCGATCTCGACGCCGCGCCGCGCCGTCGCGCCGTCGCGGTAGACGACGCGCAGGGTCCAGGAGCTCTCGCCGCTCTCGCCGTCCGAGTCGCTGCCGCGGTCGTCGGCGCCGTCGCCGGGCCGCGGCGGCCGCCGCCGCCTCGATGGCCGCGTCGACGGCGGCGTCGACGGCGGCCGTCGCGGCCGCCGCGGCCGCCGCCTCCTCGGGCGTCGCCGCGGGCGCGCCCGCGGCCGCGGCGTCGTCGTCCGCGTGGAAGCAGTCGATCAAGGCCAAATCCTTGAGCCCCAGGCTCTGCGACGTCTCGTCGGGCTCGACGTCCGCCGACGACCCCGGCAGGCGGAACCGCAGCTTCGACGCGTCCGCGTGCTTGCGCGCCGCGTACGCCGAGAACACGCGCTCCATGCGCGTCGACCACTTGACCTTGAAGTAGGTCTCCTCGCCGACGGCCTCGACGTTGTCGCGGATGCGCACGTGGAGCGTCGCCGGCGCGGTCTCGTCGCCGTCGCGCTTCGACTCCGCGGCCGCGAGCGCCGCGTCGTCCGCGACGGGCGCGTCCCGCGACTTCGACGACGCCGCGCCGCCCGACGCCGGGCCCCGGGGCGCGCCGGCGACGCCCGGCCGCCGGCCGCCCCTCGGGTCGCCGCGGCCCG